ATCTGGCGTTTTGTTGCGGAGTGTTTTTTTTTAATTCGGGACTCTTGGGTACCCATTGTGTATTATTTTGGGAGCCCATGGAGGTTTTTTATTGTGTAAATTATTAAAAACAATTTTGGTGGATTTTGTGTACAATGTTTGGAAAATTCTGACCTGACCTGTTTTTGGGTTAATTTTGGGACCCCTTTTTTTTTAATTTAAAAAAATCTTGAGGTTCTAGGTATTCCTGGTTGAAAAGAATCTCAGAGTGCTTTGGAGCCTCTAGTGTCTTGTTTTATAATAATTTAATTCAATTTCTTAGAGGATACGTCATTTGCTAAAAGCAGTCTTATCTTAGCAGGTACTTGCCCACTCGTCCGCACTTCAATTTTTTTAGGCAATATGTCATCTGCCAAAATCAGTGTTAACAAGTACTAGCCCCGCCCATCCGCCCTCTCTTTTCTTAGAGGATATCTCATTTGCCAAAATCACTCTTATCGTAGTAGGTACTAGCCCCGCCCACCCACCCTCTCTTTTCTTAGAGGGTATGTCATATGCCAGAATCACCCTTATCTTAGCAGGTACTAGCCCCGCCCACCCACTCTTTCTTTTCTTAGGCGCTATCTCATTTGCCAAAATCACTCTTATCTTAGTAGGTACTAGCCCCGCGCACCCACCCTCTCTTTTCTTAGAGGATATCTCATTTGCCGAAATCACTCTTATCGTATTAGGTACTAGCCCCGCCCACCCACCCTCTCTTTTCTTAGAGGATATCTCATTTGCAAAATTAGTTTTATCTTAACAAGCACTAGCCCCGTCCACCCACCCCCCTTTTGTTAGAGGGTATATCATTTGCAAAAATCAGTTTTATCTTAGCAAGTACTGATGAGTTTGATGACTAACTTTTACAAAAAGTGATCAAAATTTGAAAACATTACGAGCCTACTTATAAGCACAATTTTGTGTGGATTTTTCTTTTGTTGGTTTTGTTTTTGTTTATAATTTATTCTTATTGAATGTTTTTTTTTGGTTCATTTATTAATGAAAAATGCTGGTTGTTATGGTTATTGTCCTAAAGAAAATAAAAGGTGGATTTCAGTCACCATGGTTACTAAGAAATCAGAAAGTAGGGTTTAGGTGAGTGCAGTGTTGCCAATTTTACTTTTATAAAATTACGTTTTTTTCGTAATCTATATCATTTATTTTTTTTATTAATTTTTGGGACTCCTGAAACCCTCGTACGTAACGTACTGAAGAGTTAATCCGCCGTTTTCCAAACACCCGGTATATATACAGGGTACTGCAAAAATGGCCTATCAACTCTATGACACGTTGTTGAGGACTGTTTATAGAACAGAGAACAAATAATTTAAAATAGGAAATATAGCCCTTAAAAATTTAAATTTTATTTTCAACTTTTCACCATACTCTAATTCACCACCGAGTGTTGGATACATGAAATCAATTACTCTTCCATTATTCAAAATAATTTTGGAGGTATCTTGCTTCCATCCACAGTTTTTTTCATTTTATAATATAACAAAAAACGTCAAAATTGTTCAGAACGAATAGGCAAAATCTGGCTAATTTTTAGAGTTTGTGCGCCATTTTTTCAGCATCCTGTATACTAATTTCGAAAATGCACTGCGTATTACTAAAATCTCTGCAACATTGGTTTCACAAATCTGTGTTCAAAAATTTTAGTTTTAAACCATTCATTCCATCTTCTGAGGTCCTCCAGGGGTCGAACTTAGGTCCCTTATTGTTTTGGATTTTTATCACTGATCTTCGGGATAGTATTCCCTGCAATAAACTTATGTAGGTTGATGATCCCAAATTATACTACATATTATTAATGATTGTTACTATCTACAGTTTTGCTTAATTTCGCTTCACTTTTACTATTAATGTTGAACAATTCAAAATTCAAAGTTGTTTCTTATTACAAATGTTTTTAACTGCAATTTACCCAAAAAAGTAGGACAAGGGCAATTTCAAGGGCTAATGATATAGAGTTCTCTGGAAGAAGAAGACATTGTCAAAATCATAAAGGTTCGGTCATATAAGAAGAAACGATAAGGGAGTGAAGAGGTGACATGGAAGCAAAAATTTCTACGACGTACTCAAAATTGGGTATTTTTTTGTCTCAGACAAAGTGCATAAGACAGAAAAAGAAAAAGCTTTACTACTATACTATAATATAATAAATAATTTTTGAATTTTGTATTTATGCCCATGGATTTATTAGTGCCAAAATAAATTTAGACTGGTAATCCGCGATTTTTTTTTATTGTGCATGGTTGTCAAAAATGCGAGCCCCCAAGTCTGATCTTTTCGCGCCACCCATGGCCGCTCCATCACAAACAAAGTTATCACAAGCAATTATCGCATTTAATTCAGAAGCTCGTTACAAGTAGGAAAAATATTAGCGTAACCATGTTCAACCTTGCCCCGGGGCATACGTTTATTAATAAAATAACGTCACTTGTTTTGTTGCATCCGTCGCCTCGAAAACCGTAAGCATCGTTCACACGAGTCGCCTGCACGTATGTAAATTTTTCTCGTAATAAACAGCGTAATACACCGTGTCTCTACAACTTACAACATTCCTGGCGTGGGCCGTACTGGAATTTATCGCGGCCTCCCGAGCGCAGAAACCCATCACGTCTGTAAAAAAGCCCAATCCGGGCCTGCTTCCGCCCCTCAGGTTACCGCTTTTCGCGTAATCTTAGTCGGCCAGACGGCCGATTCCCGCAATGAAATCGGAGTAGGGGAAAAAAGAAGAGCGGCGGTCATGGCCGCGGTAGGGGAGGCATATTTTATTGATGGCTCGTATTGCCTGCGACAGGTAAAATTGTGGTTGACGTTTGGCTTTTTCGAACGACTCAGCATCGGCCGATTTTCGTAATGGCGACGTTGCAATTATTTTTTTACTGTTGTGGTGTTTGTGGCGGAGTGCAATTTGAGTGGTTTTTATTCGTGATTCGTTCGTGTGCGGGGAGAGGTTGAAAGGAACGACCGGAGATATCTTATTCCATTTTTGATATGCAAATTTTAAATTGTTCGCTGGTACAAAAATTTGGGTGTGCGAGTGATTTTTTATTTATTGTGGTGTATGGTATTGAGAGCGTCATAAATTAATGTCAAAATATATCACCGGTTTGTTGAATCAGAAGTACTATTTTTAAATATTGTTGTAAATTTCGGGAATGCAGCGGAATTTAGTTGGCGATCTGATAGAGGCAACTGGATGTCGTAAAATTTCGCTTTTGCGGCTTCAATTAACACGTCAAAAAGGACAATTTCAGATATATATTTTTATCTATTTATCTATCTGATTAGTCGAGCTTGGAAAATATGCATCAAAAAACTCCAATACGATTCAGGCAAATATGCAATAAAAATCTAAATTCTTTACAACATACTGAACACTTTTTTACTAAAGAACATATGCCGTTGTGGCAACTAGCGACAGATCAATGCTATAAAAAAGGTATAATAATAATAATAATAATAATAATAATATGTTCTTTATTGTCCAACAGATTTACCACTTATAGGACAATATTAATAACAATTATTAATTATTAATATGATAAAAAGTGAGGTTATAATGAAGTCAAGTGACGTGAAAAATCAGCCGGCTCCAAAGCTTGCACTTTTTGAACGAGGTATGGATATAAGGCTCGTTCTTTTAATGTGCGAATCCAAGAGGTCCCTTATACTCGGTATTTTTCCAATCATTTCCTTCTCAATTCATTATACGGTACATTTTCTTGCCTTGTAGAACAAAAAATCAGCGATGAGTGGTATGAGAGGAGCGAAAACCGGCATATGTGCTGTCTAAAGCGCGCATATTCACATTGCTTTCGTTATTGGCGAACTGCAAATGCTCTTGGGGTTTGACTTTTTGCGTTGGAAATATTGATGATTAACGATGTTCTCACGCCTTCAATATCATCAACTTTCAAGTTTACAAGTTCATCTGCCTGGCATGCTCTAGCTATGTCCAAAAGCAGTACATCCTACGACGTATGAGGATATTAGTACACCTACAATTCATCATAAATTTCACAAAATTAAGATAAATATTTTCATATTTGGTGGCGAAAACAAAGCGGTAATAAACGTCATAAAACTGAACTGTAAGTGTCATTTTTCTCGTAAACGTCGTAACTGGGAATAATTTATAGGGATTTTAAGAAATTATTATTATTATTATTATTATTAAACTCGGATACGTTCTTTGCTCTTGGCAACGGTTCCTCGGAAAAAATTCGTCGCCTCATCAAAACGCTGGCCCTAATGTTAATAACAGCCCAGTGGTATTTTATAATACGGGAAAGCTTTAATTTAATTGTCCAAATTATCTCTCCACAAGAACCGGTTCCCGTTTCAAAACATCATTAAAAGCAATCTCTCGAGGTATTTCAGGATTCTTATAAGGGATCATAAGACATTTTTGCATACATTACAGCATTGTTGTACCATCGTAACACGTGGCAGACAATGCAATTTTTCCAAATACGACTATCGTGAACAGATCCTGGCCATTCACCACTCACACTTGTAAATAATTCATTTGCATTACATGAGGCTTGTACGTTTATGCTTGGAAATTTTTTTCTCAAAATATATTCATCACTGTGGCAATAGCGATTAACTTTTTTTGGTATAGATTAGAATACAATCCAAGGCTCCTGTAGCTGTTGGAAAATTGTATTTTTCGAACCACTTGACCTCTGCTACGTGAACTGCTTCTGAATTAAAAATATTTTAAATATTGTGAACTTTTTTCATTATTGAGTTCAAAGTTAGTCGAGGTTTGTCCTTACATTGTCTTTTTAGAAATAGTAAGATGACTCCGGCTATCTGCGTCTCGGGTTTCGTCTGTAAAAGGAGCTCCTCCATGCGATTGTTGATGATTTTTCTAGCCTTGTACGTCCATTAATGTTTTCATGGAAAACAATAATTATTACAGAGTGAATTCCACAATTTTAACAAAGATTTTTTTGTTTCAGAATACATAGAAAAAACTCACCTAGGCGAATTCGACAGCGAAGTGGAGTTCGTCAAACCCAAGAAAATCAGTCCCCTGCCACTCCATAACCACGACATCATCTTCGACCAGATGCGTAACAACTACGGTAAATTTCCCATTTTCCGGAAATCTCAAAATTAATTTTTGCAAATCGTCAGATAAACCACCATTAAGACACCACAGCGGCCACTTTAGACACAAAGAAGCGGAAGTGTGGGACCCTCATCCTCGCTACGAAATCGAGGCTTTCGGTCGCAAACTTTTCTTGGAGTTGGAGCACAATGATCAAGCTTTAGCAGAAGATTTGCACGTAAGTTTTGCTTTTTAGTACTTCGCGATCGTAAACTAGGTGATAGAAGAGTAACAAAAAGTTGGCTGTTATTCCCGTCAGAAATTTGATGACGTCGTCTCAAAGAATTACTTGTTGTTTTTGTTTTTACTTTTACAGTTATTCACAGGTCACAGGTTTAAGAAAATTATATATATTTATGGTTGTGTAATTATAATAATAAAAAGCCCACATACTCTCTGTGTCCGCAATAAGTGACAACTTCTTCTAACGGCTGTTCAATTGAAAGATCACTCAGAGTAGGCGTTGGAATATCAGTTGACACAAACGGCACGTCTGTTCTTATAACATATAGCATATAACAAGTTATGTTTCTGCCAAATGGATGTTATAAGAACCGACATGCCGTTTCTGTCAAATGCAATCCAACGCCCCCTCTAAGTGATTTTTCAATTGCACACATGTTACAATATACACTGCGTTTCAAAAAACTGTACCACTCTGAACGAGCTGAAATTTTGTAGAAATAAACAAGGCATACTTTATGCGTTACTTGTGCAATATTCAAGCCCAAAGATGCACGGGTGCGAATTGATCCTTATTACCCTCATTCGGACCGGTTTTGTCGGGGCATTTAACTTTGTTTCAATACAACACTGTCATTTAATGTCAGAATTTATGGACTACTATTTTTGACAAGCGCAAGTGTATACATATATCGTAAATTAAAGTTTTCTTTATGTTTTGTTAATTTTTGAAATGCTAGACTCATCGTTGTGATATATTATATCTATTTTAAACATTTCGTGTTGTTTGTAAAACGCTAACCAAAGTATGTTTAGTCACCCCCATCAACAATTTGATGACGTCTTTGCACAAATTTTGCAAAGTAAATACTATTTGTACTTTAGGAAATAACATACCTATATAGCTGTGGTTTATGAATCGACCTTTATTTTTTATCTTATTTTTAGAAAAAAAATCAGAACCGTATAAACATTTTACAATTAACCTTGAAATGCAAACCTGATTGCTTTAAAATCTTATAAATGTTTTGAGGTTATCGCAACCATGGTTAATCTAAATTTATCTGTGTATTCCCTCTAAAAACTTGATTACGTCATCTCAAAATGTCTTGAATATCTAGCTTTGACAAATCCTTTCTTACTTGATCCTCCCACCTGATTCTTGGTCTTCCTCTTGATCTGTTATTGTCAGGTTTGCATTCGGTAATTTTCCTCGCGTGTTTGTTTTTCTCCATTCTTTTTAGATGACCATAACAGCGTATTCTACGTGCCTTTATCACTCTTACCATGTCTTCTCCTTTGATAATATCTTCTATTTCGTGGTTCATTAATGTTCTGTATTCTTGGTCTTGTATTTTCTTCATCCCCATTATTCTTCTAACTATTTTTCTTTCAAATCTTCTTATCTTTTCTTCTGCTTCGCTAGTTAGGCTCATTGTTTCTGCTGCCTATGTCACTACAGATCTTATTGTTGTCTTATATACTCGCAACTTTGTATTTTTGGATATTCTGCTACTCTTCATGATGATGCTATATTTGAAATACACTCTGTGACCAGCTTGTATTCTTTACTTTATTTCCACTTGCCGTTTGCCCTCATTATCAATAATGCTTCCCAGGTACCTAAAGTTTTCAACAATTTTAAACTTAAAATTTCCTATTTCAATTTCTTTTTTGTCTCTTCGTTCTTGTCTCTTACTTGCTGATAAATATTTTGTTTTCTCCACGTTAATGTCCAATCCTCTTTTGCTTGCTTCATTCGTAATTACTGTTAGTAATTTACTAAGACTTTCCTTGTCTCTCGCAATTAAAGCTAAGTCATCAGCATATGCTATGATTTGCACTGACTTATTTATAATTGTTTCTTCCGCATGACTGTTCTTAACTATTCTGTCCATCACAATATTAAATTAAGTAGCTGACATACCATCACCTTCCCTAACCCCAGAGTTGAATGCAAATTCTTCAGAATTTCCATTCTTTGCTGCTACTGATGCTTTTGAGGTCTTTAAGCACATTCTGACTAATTTATTAGTTTTCTAGGTATCCCCATTTTTCCATATCTTGGACCATCGTGTCTTGGTTCATACTATCAAACGCTTGCCTAAAGTCGACGAAGAGTATATGTATGTCGATATCAGCATTTTTCAATTATTTGGTTCATACTATGGATTGCATCAATTGTTGATCTTCCCCGTCTGAAACCATATTGATGTTCCCCTATTTCTGTTTCTGTAATTTCTTGTAGCGTCTTATTTTTTAAATTGGTTAATAACTTATATGCAGCATTAAGCAGACTAATTCCTCTGTAATTTGTGCATAAATGTGGGTTTCCTTTTTTCAAAATTGAAATTATTTTTCCTGTGTCCCATTCCATTGGTATCTTTTCACTAATCCATATGCTCGTAATTAACTCGTACATCTTCTCTTCTAGTATTTGACCTCTATGTTTAAACATCTCATTCACTATCCCATCTATCCCTCCTTCTTTGTTCATCTTTAAGCTTTTCAATACATTGAAGTATTCTTCTTTTGTTGGTAGGTATTGCTCATCACTAGTGTCTCCGTATTCTATCCGATTTTGGTCCATTATATCTGCATCGTAATCGCTTCTCAGTAGCTTCTGAAAATGTTTTTCCCAATCTTTACTATCAATGTTCACGGTTGTTTGTTTCCTATTCTGTTTTCTGATGTACTGATATAGCTTCACATTGTTCTTATTGTCTTTTTCTATTTCATCCATTGTTTTTTCAATCCATTTCGTTCTTTTGCTTAATAGTAGTTTTGTGCATTCTTTTCTTATCGTCTTGTAATTCTGGTATTCACTTTGTTTACCTGATTCTAGCCATCTTATTCTTGCATTCCTTTTTCTGTTTACAATCCACTCGCACTAGTCATCAAACCATTTCTTAAACGCCGTCTTTTGTTTTCTGCCTGCTACTTTTTCTGTCGCTTTTATCATACAATTTTTTAACTGTCCCCAAGAATTGTCAATATCAGTTTCTTCTACTTCCGCTGCCAGCTGTTTTCCTAACTCACTTCCATATTCATCTTTTTCCACTTGTAATTCTTCGAAATTCCATCTTGTCTTTTTTTTTGATTTCATTTTCTTATTGACTATCATTCTCATCTTCATTTTCACTATTAACAGATGATGATCGTTATCTATATTTGCTCCTCTGTAAGATCTTACATCTTGGACCATCGTTTCTCTCTTTTTTGATATCAAAGCATGGTCGATCTGGTTACCTGTAGTTTTGCCTGGTCGCATCCATGTCACTTTGTGTTCTGGTTTCATAAACTTTGTGCTAACAATAAACATATCTGTCCCTGTGGCCAGGTTGCACAGCCTCTTCCCACTGTCATTCGAGATATTGTGCAATGATTGTTTCCCTGCTACTCTTTCCAGGTATTTCTCTTGTCCTATTTTGGTGTTGGTGTCCCCAATAATAATCATTGTGTCATGTTTTGGTATTGATTCACATGCTCTCTCTAAGTGGTCATAGAAATCGTCTTTATCGTTCTCGCTTGCATCTTCCGTAGGAGCATATACATTTACCAGTGTAATGTTAGCAATCTTATTTTTGATTCTTATCATAGATATTCTACCATTAATCCTTATAAAGTCTATTATCATATCTCTTATTCTTTGCCTATCATAAATCGTGTTCCATTTCTTCCCTGCTTGTCTTCTCCGGCATACAATCGTGTAAAGTCCTCTTTGTCGACTTTCCCTTCGCCGCTCCATCTTAGTTCTTGTAAAGCTAATATTCCAATATTATAATTTTTCATTTCCCTTGCTATTTCTTCCATTTTTCCTACTCCTAGCATTGTTTGTATGTTCCAAGTGCCAATTTTTGTCGAAGCTGTTTTCTTGTTTCGCTTTTTCCGATTCATTTGCCAGTTCATATCCTTATTCTTAGCCTTGTCGTCCTTAGTTGAATTTCGTCCTACCTCAATTATTAGTTTTTTGCGATCTTGCTTTGCTGTGTCACCTCCTCATTTAACGGTGACCTTTCACTGGATGTTCGCTTATCTTTGCCCTTAACTGTCATTTCAAAGTGTTCTTTACCATACACCTTTCCGTCTATAATCATTTTGTTGTACCTGAGATATGCTGTACTTCCTTGCTGTCTACCTTGCTGTAAATAATGTCTTAGGCATTTTGTTTCTGCTTGTACCTTTTTTGAGAAATCATCATTAGTCCATGTGTCCGAACCTTTCAGATTTTTTGTTAATTTGTAAATTTCCATCTTCCTTTTCCATTTTTGTGGCTTCACAAGTATTGGTCTATTTTCATTCGGCTTATATGTACCTATTCTTCTTATCTCAAATGCATCCATCTCTACATCAACCTTAACTCCCATTTTCGTCACTATATTCTAATATTATCAGAATTATAAGGGGAAAATGAGCCCTTATCCCACTTTTTTTGACACTGCTGGAGGATAAGAAGGTATAATTAATTTATTGTAGTAAATCCTAGCAACAAAAAAGCCGTAAGCAGTAATAAAAGAGTTACGGTGTTAGACAACAAAATTGACAATTTAAAAATCAATTTTTTTGAGAATTTGCCGTTACTTTTTGTAATTTGGCAACACCACCAAATCGATATCTTATCAGTATTATATTTATGTATTTATCAATACTTGGAGGCGCCAATATTCAAAAGATGTCAATGGGATATCCTTTGTTTTTCTGTGTGATAAAGAAGATTTCCACATAAAGAACTCATGTTTTCACAGATTTTTCTACAAATACCAGATCGATGTCCTGTCAATATTATATTTACTTATATGTCAGTACATGGAGGTGGAAAAAGTGAACCGGCTTATTTATGAAACAAAATTTTGATTTGTAGAAAGTGTCATTAATGACCTCGGAAGCGTCTCTGTTTTAATTAATCACGGCACCCGGAGTTTATATGTAGTAGGTAAATAAACTGAACTTGATAAATGATTAATATTATTATGATTAACTAGCAAAAGCCACGTA